AGCAGGAACATCTAAACTTCTCCATGTTATTCATGAGTTCTTTTCAGAAAATTCATATCAGTAAGTGCTGATGTACTGCGGACAAGAAATGGGTAATCTCATCGACCTTCCCGTGAGCGCATCACGCTTTGGCCTTGTCTAAAGGAGGGGTGCACTCCTGGAAGTGTGTCTTGCCATGAGGTAACACTGGGAGCCAGGGACAACTGATTCCCCAACACCACCAAAATCTGCCTTTGCCTCCCATGAACCAGGAGTGCCTCTCTACCATGAGGCTCTAACTCCATCACTACATTCTTGGCTGGGTGATCTTCATGGATGTGTGGTCCTTGGGAAGAACAGTGCCCAGGATGACGCTCCTGTGCATCACCTGACCTCAGCCTCATCTCCAAACACAGCCAACACCAGATGCTCCAGCAGAATGAAGAGTCACCCTATAACATGCCTAATTACACAGCTCTCCTCCTTCGGGTACAAAGAAGTTTTATTTAAAGACACATTTGCCATGTCCTGAAGGACAAGAGCAGATCAAACAGGAAAAAGTTGTTTTTTCCAGCTTCCATAACTGCAGGTTTCATTCTAAAGTCACACTAGGAAAGAAAAAGGCAATCAAATTTTTTGAAACCTCTCCAGCTCCCTTCCCTGCTTGCAATCTGCATCAGCAGCTTCTACAGTTAATTACTTCTTCTAATTACCATTGCCTTGCACCATGCTTAAACTGGCTACATTCAGCTGGGTACTGAATTCAAACAAGTAACCCATCACTGAAGTCCTACCATTTGCAGCCCTTCAGGAAAGGCTGGGGGTAGAGTGGAAGGGGAAGGAAAAGAAGTTATTTTTTATAAGAAAAGTGGCCTACTGAATGGAGCATGTCACTGGAAAAGGGTTGATGGGTCTCCACGAGGCCATACCTTGAGCTCTCTCGCCTGTATCTGTAGCACCAATTAATGAACTCCAGAACACAAGGACCTGGAAATCTCATATAATAAAGGGAAACAGCAAAGCACAGGTTTGAACCTCACTGAAGCATGGCAGCTAAATCCTGTTACTCTTCTGAAGGGGCCCCTTCCTCTTCATCTGACCCTCTGGAAACCTTTGCTGCAGACCTTGGTGGGGGCCATCTTTAACAAGGAATGTCTTTTGGGAGTCCCTCTGAACGAAGATTTTCTACAAGGTTGCAAAGCTTCTACATTTTTAACCATTGAGGTACCGCAGTGACACAGCCAGACCAACCCTTGGTAACACAGACCTTGTGAAACTCGAGAGGGGTAGGGGACATGATTTCCTGCATCTCCTTCTCGATCTTCTTCATGTCCAGGTTCCTCTCGTTCTTCTTGGCAGGGGAGCTGCTACCCTCGGTCTGTCCATCATCACAGCTGGAGTTTGCTTTCCTCAATGGGCTCAGTCCCGATGGGTTGACAGAGTCCAGGAGCAGCTTGCTGCCCTCTAGACCCAGGTTGTGCACACTCCCCGTCATGATGGATGCCTGTAAGGCAAGGGCACAAAGTCATTCTGCTGATCTGGCAGCAGGAAGAGATGGACTACACAGGAACAAAAGTGGCACGGACAACAACAGGAGGGCACCATTGTTCTCCTTAATCAGGAAAGTAAGTAGCAAGAAGCTCTTCCAGTTAGCTATAAAAGCCATTTCGAGACCTCAGGAGCCTGCTGCCAGGTCTATCGCTGACCTGCTGTGTGCTCTCTCACCGCAACATGGAGCTTTATCTCAGAAAGAAGCAGTTGTGAAGCATCTCCTTATTTTTTGATGACCTCTTCTACACAAATAGGGCCAGGCAGGCCTTATCTTGTGCAGGAACCTTCTTAGTAGTCAAGAAGGATGAACATCCCAATCCCAGGGGGCTCCCAGAGGAACTGGTGGCTGCCTGGCTCTCCAGCCTGCCCCTGCAGGCTACAGCTCACCACCAGCATTGCACAGTGCTGGCAATGGCCCAGGGAAGTCAATACCTGGGACTCCACTGAGGCCAATTCAGCAGAGAAATTAGGATTTTATCTGTCATTAAATGGGAGCTGTCACTGAGCAAAACTGAGTTAAAAATATGAAATTAAGTAGTATTTAAGCCTGGTCATCCTTGATAGCATCCATTAAAAGATGCCCCTAAGTAGATTCTACTCCATTTGGCAATGCTTTTCACTAATGAGATTACATTGATCAAAGCTAACAAAGGAGTCAAGAATCCAGTCTGTGGAACCTCAACTGGCTCCAGGTCACAGAGTCCATTTAAATGGCATAATGAAAACTGTCATTTCAAAGTTCAGGCTCCAAGGGTCTGCAGTCCCATTAAATGTCAAAAGGTAGAAGAAAGAAAAGGAAAGGTTGGGAGCAGATAGAAAAATTCAGCAGTACTAAATGTGGCAAGTCAAAGAGCAATTGCTCCTGTGCACAAGGGAAATACCATCTGACTAAATCTCTAATCAAGGTCCTCCAGCTCTTTGTTCCAAGCTGGAACAAAGGCAAATGAAGTGAGTTCTGGTGGCAGTATGAAAATGCCAGCACTACCCACGTTATCCCAAATAGGGATGGATAAAATACAGAAAACCTTTTAGCTTTGACTTTTCAGGTCTTCACATAAAAATGGCTTAATCGGCTCGAGTTTGGACAAAACTCAAATACCTGCTACATGCTGGGAGGACGTTGAGTTACCACATACTTGAAATGCAGATTAACAAACAGCAGTACAGCCAACCAGGGTACGTTTGTTCACTGACCGCAGGCAACCTCAATACCCCCACCCCAGGATGCTGTGCAACGCTGTACCAACACCAGCATTGCAGAGCCAGGGAGGAGAACAGAAAGGTCTGTGCACGTCATGCTACTGTCCTCCCTCATGCGCTGCAAATACCGAAACTGGACAGTACCCAACAGCATACCGTTCCCACAGCATTTGAATCCTCTATCTTCAAGGTATTTAAATATGCCTTGCAGCATTATAAGCAATTTGCTAGGTGCTTTGGGTTAAGTGCAAGCAGCAGAAAGGGCAATTCTGGACTTCTGCAGCCTGTGGCTGCCCCACATTATTTTTCTCCATGTCTTGGTTGCCCTCAAAGCAAAGTGGGGACACATGCTCCACTAGATATATTGGAAAAAGCCTGTTTCTACCCATGCCGTGTAGTCTGGGAGTGGATTGCTACTGTGTGTGAACCTTCTTCCAGGCTATCTTGGGTCATCTTGCATGACTCTTATTCTTTTTCAAATGTGGAGCATGAAGGGTCAAATTTAAAAAAAAATAATAAAAAAAAAAAAAAGATCTGTGACTGTCATAAAATCACAGGAGGCCAGGAGCTGGGGCTTAGAAACCTGTGATGCAGCAAAAGCCTCCATGAGCATTGCACATCCCACACCACACCTCAGGAAGGATGGGCACACGGAGCGGGAGGAACAGATGAGTGGTACTTTGGACTTGATAAAAGGGCAGTTGAAATCCATCAGACTTCTGCTAAAAACGCAGTGCTTTCCTTTTGTCCCCAGAACTTTCCAAAATATTCTAGAAATGTGCTAAATACGCCAAACCCTCAGAGGTGCTCTGCTTTTTGTAAAATTTCTTTACATTTTTTAAGGCATTGCTATAACTGTCAAAGCTCCAAAGCCTTAAAAGAGCATGGATCAAAAGCCTGTGCATCCCTGCACCATGGATCCCTGGAAAAGGAAAAGAATTGGGCAGAAAGATATTTTCTCTGCCCTAGCATTTCACAGTAGCCCAACAAATCCCTTCTTTTAC